TATTCATGTATCATTTATGAAGAGCACCAGTGGAGCTTCTTTCTTTATTCTTTTTGATAATTCTGTAAATTACAATATACTCCAGATACACTGCATTGACAAACAACTAAGACAAGCAAAGACATCAAATTCACACTTCAATTTTAAAAAACATACATATTTTCAACAATTTGGTAGAAAAACATAGGTTCCCTTACCTCATCATCATCAGAATCATTCCCAAACACTGATGGTTTTTGCAAAACAGGGTGCAACTTCTGTGCTTTCTTTGGCAAAATAAGCCCATACCTGCATTTTTTTTTTGAAATAGAAATTACACCATTATATTTAAACATTAAAACACAATACATTCACTACCTCTTCCAGATGGAGCTACCAAGTCAAAACATGTCTATGAACACACAAGTTTCCGATCTTCAGACGTCTCAAAGTTCTAAGGTGCTAAGAATTTATAACTGTTCCTCTAAGCCAGTGGTTCTCAACCTTCCTAGTGCCGCGGCCCTTTAATACAGTTCCTCAGGTTGTGGTGACCCCCAACCATAAAATTATTTGCGTTGCTACTTCATAACTGTAATTTTGCTACTCTTATGAATCGTCATGTAAATATCTGATATGCAGGATGTATTTTCATTGTTACAAACTGGACATAATTAAAGCATAGTGATTAATCACAAAAACAATATGTAATTACATGCCTTTAATACAGTTCCTCATGTTGTGGTGACCCCCAAGCTCATTGTTACAAATTGAACATAATTAAAGCACAGTGATTAATCACAAAAACAATATGTAATTACATGTGTTTTCCGATGGTCTTAGGCAATATCTGTGAAAGGGTCGTTCGACCCCAAAAGGGGCCGCGACCCACAGGTTGAGAACCGCTGCTCTAAGTGCTTATTTGTAGGCACAAGCCAAACTCAAATACCATTTTAATCCAAGAAGAGAAGTAACTGAAGAGTACAGAAATGATTTAGATGGTAAAATACGACTAAGGTTTTTAATAGAACATGTTGGTGGAAAGCTCAGTTCATGTCCATTAAAAATAAAAACACTCTCAATTATCTTTTAGTCTAACAAGAGTCAAGAAAATAAATCCCCCCGCTACTGTGCACTGACACAGTTTTAAAGAAGTTACTGATCGGATAATATCACCCACACTTTTTCAAAAGATTACATTAACTGAAAAACCCGAGTAGCCATAGGGTAACTTGTCATTACACCTCATTAAGCTCCCTCGCTTTGTATTGGAGCATCTGAGCGCACCACCCCATCAGAGGCAATTCACTCGGTTTCTCACATTTTGGCCTTTAGGATGCAGCGATCCCAGAAAGCCACATCAGAAGCACGGATTATCCATCCAACGTTAAAACTTGCAAGAACGTACAACATTTGTCTCCTGCGGCACCGCAAACCCCAAGTCCCTATATGCCTACCCTTTTCTGTGGTTTCTCAGCACATTTTCCTAAAACCAGAAGGGACGGCGGGAACAAGGCCCGCTAAGGAAGCCAGGGGTGGTCTCTTCTCACTGCCCCTCAAGGCATCCAAACGGGGAGAAACTCAAGCGCGGGGTAGGAAGCAAGACTGAGGGGCCTCAGACCGAGCTTTTGGAAAATAGAAAAGTCTCGCTCTCTGCCCCTCAGCCTAACTTCCTTTATTTCCTCACAAGTTTCTCCCTCAAACTTCGGGCTTCCTTCCATCCTGGAAAATATGGGGGTGAGGGGAGTATGTTCCTCAGGATTTCTCGCTTTTCCCGTCTCTATCCCTGATGAGACAGCCCCTTCGCTTCCAGCGCGCTTTACTCCTCGGCCAAAGGCACAGTCGCCGTGGTTTCTTATTCCCCAGCCTAACCCTAACTCCCGCATCACTCACTGCCTGCCCGGAATCGCCATCTTGCTCCGGTCTCCGCTGAACGTGGCTGACGCCGACGTGACGCTGACGCAGACGTGACGCTGACGCAGACGCTGACGTAGTCACGTAAACTCTCGCGCGACTTTGGGCGGCCAGGAATCCGCCTCGCCGCTGAGTCGCTTTTGAGTGGATTCAAACGCTGTTTTGGAATCTAGTACCTTGGTCTTCGGTTTAATTTGCAAACCGACTGACTGCTTCGAAATCAGTGGGAAGAAAAGAATGACAAAATTCTAGGCCAGTGGTTCCCATGGTCCCGGGACCAGCAGGTTAGCATTATCCGGGAATTTGTTAAAAATACAAAATACAGCCCTAACCGGTTTGACTCAGTGGATGGAGCGTCGGCCTGCGGACTCAAAAGAGTCCCAGGTTCGATTCCGGTCAAGGGCATGTATCTTGGTTGCGAGCACATCCCCAGTAGGGTGTGTGCAGGAGCAGCTGGTCGATGTTTCTAACTCCCTATCCCTCTCCCTTCCTCTCTGTAAAAAATCAATAAAAAGTATATTTTTAAAAAAATAGCCCTGACCAGTTTGGCTCAGTGGATAGAGCGTTGGTCTGTGTTGGCTTTTTAGGTTATTATAGCTAGATTCAAAAATAAAAAGAGCCCTGACCGGTTTGGCTCGGTGGATAGAGCATCAGCCTGTGGACTGAAGGGTCCCAGGATTCATTCCAATCAAGGGCATGTACCTTGGTTGTGGTCAAATCCCCAGTGGGGAGTGTGCAGGAGGCAGCTCATCGATGTTTCTCTCTCATCGATGTTTCTGACTCTCTATCCCTCTCCCTTCCACTCTGTAAAAAATCAATAAAATATATTTAAAAAAACAATTAAAAAATACAAAATACAAATTAACGGGTCCTATCCCAGAGCTACTGAATCAGGAACTCTGGGATGGGGCCCAGAAATGAGTTGTTCAGTATGAGTATATCGGGCTCAGGGTAATTTGGTAGAAGGTGAAAATCTATATACTCATAGTGTCTCATAGAACCAAATTGCTTAATAATACCGTGGTACCAATGGGTATAGGAATCAAAATCATACACCATACTCTTTTCTTTAAAAAAAAATTCTAGTCATATTAACTGTGCATCCACTCACTCTTGGCCCATTCCAAACTAGTCTTATTGCAGCCGGAAAAATCTTTCAATTTCTACAGAGGGATGTTTAAGTCTCCAACTAGATTTGTCTATTTCTTTTAATAAGTTTTTGTTTCAAGTATGTTGAAACATTTAGGATTATTATGTCCTCTTGCATTGACCCCTATACCATTAAAAAAAATAACCCCCTTCTCCCCCCTGTAGAATCTTCATATTTATTCCATAATAATGGAATCTCTCCTATCATCATCAGTTTATTCTCAAGTAAAAACTGGATCGCAATGCCATTACTTTGACTTAACGACCTTCTCTCAAACATGACTGATAAGGAAAGACAATAATGGTACTAATGATGCGTTCAGATGCCAGTATACATCTTTAATTTATCACAGTCTACCTTCAAGTAAAAATATATCATTTTATTTATAGTATAAAAAAACTTTATAGCCCTGGCTGGATAGCTCAGTTGATTTGGATTGTCTACCAGTGGTTCTCAACCTTCCTAATGCTGCGACCCTTTAATACAGTTCCTCATGTGGTGGTGACCCCCAACCATAAAATTATTTTCGTTGCTACTTCATAACTGTAATTTTGCTACTGTTATGAATCGTAATGTAAATATCTGATATGCAGGATGTATTTTCATTATTACAAATTGAACATAATTAAAGCAGTGATTAATCACAAAAATAATATGTAATTATATATGTCTTTTCCGTTGGTCATAGGCGACCCCTGTGAACGGGACATTCGACCCCCAAGGGGTTGCAACCCACAGGTTGAGAACCACTGATCTATAACATACAGTGTTCGGTGTTACTTGTAAGCTATGGAGAAAGAGTCAATAAAAATTCAACTATTCAAGTCTAGGTTTCTGAATTAGAAGTAAATATAAGTAAATCTATCTAGTCCAGCAGTTTTCAACTGGTCTGTCGCCAGGATTATTTTTAAAATATATTTTTATTTCAGGGAGGAAGGGAGAGGGAGAGATAGAAACATCAATGATGAGAGAGAATCATTGATCGGCTGCTTCCTGCAGGCCCTCCACTGGGGATCGAGCCCACAACCCTGGGCATGTGCCCTCGACTGGAATCAAATCCGGGACCCTTCAGTCCACAGGCTGGCACTTTATGCACTGAGCCAAACCAGCTAGGGCTGTTGCAAGGATTTTTAAAACATGCAGTATCTGACACTAAGTAATCAACTGATGTGCTGTAGCACACAGGTTTTAAAAATTCTTGTGGCACACTTACTGAAAATCACTTTAGTCAAACAGATTTAAATATAAATCGATATCTAAACTTTCGTTAAGTATAAGAAATATCTTCACTAAAAAGTAAGTTCTATGCCCTACTGGCGTGGCTCAGTGGTTGAACGTCAACCTATGAACCAAGAGACCTCCATTCGATTCCCGGTCAGGGTACAAGACTGTGTTGCAGGTTCCATCCCCAGGACTTGAATCCCAGTGTGGGGTGTGCAAGAGGCAGTTGGTCAATGATTCTCTTTCATCATTGATGTTTTTATCAACCAATCTGCCTTGCTAGTTGTTTAACTTTACAGTAATTTCCAAAAGACTGAATGCACGATTATTAGCCTAGTAAAGGGTGGAAAGTGTTAGTGAGGTGTCTGGGGTGCTGGCAAGGGTAGTAACTCTACCCTGTCTCTTACTAGTTATTGTGACCTAGGTAAACTTACTCACTCTTGGAGACTTTCTCATTTATAAAATGGAGATAATAACCTGCCTATCTTACAGGTTACCAGGAGGATAAAATGAGCTAGTATGTGAAAATACTTCAAACAAGTTAAAGCACCATGCTAATATATTTATTATCATTACACAAAATGCCCTTTAGTTAACTAATCCCAGGATAGTGGTTAAAAAGGTAGCATTCTATACAAATTTGCCCTTCTTGCTGCAAATACAAAATACCATTTGTATTCACAGTGAACTCTTTATAAGCTGTTCTGAAGCCATCAGGATATGGGGCTATCATTTAATATCTTCAAGAGCCTTGTTCCTAGAAATGTTGCTGCAAATGTCCTGAAAAGCCCTCTTTCTAATACAAAAGAGGCTTATAGGTTAAAACTGGGCATGCGATCATTCAAGAGATGAGGACTGGTAATAACACTGCCATCTTATCAGAAAAGGTTAAACCAGGGACCTCAAATTATAAGATGTTTGGAACACAACATATTTTTTTCAACCAAATAAAAAAAATGAAGTTTAATTTCCCAAAATTTTATTAAAAACTGACTGTCATCAGATATTTTATTGCAAAGATGAAATCTCACAACAGAGCAGTAAAGTTTGCTGTACTAACAATCTTTAAGTAAATATAAATTCTTTTTGTCGTTCTTGAACTTTAGAGGTTATGTTGTTATTTTTTTTAAGGTGTTTTCTTTTTTCCATGAGTCATGGACAAACATTTTCCCACAAAGATTTGTATTTATTGAAATAACTTGTTACTAAGGTAAGTGTGTGTGTGGTGATGAGGAGGGAGAAATGGTAGTACTCATATTAGTCTTTGAAAAATTAGAAAAACAATTCCCAGTCCATTTCTTAAAATCTTTATTATTTGGTACTCTTTTGATGTAAAAACTGCCGTTTTGTTTTCTGAATCTTCGGTCTTTACTTTGTACCTTAAAAGAATGAAAATAACTCTCTTCAGCCAAGCATAATAGTCCCATGGCAGATAAAAACTAAAATTGAAAAGAAAGTTTTGAATATATTCTATAACATGCATTTGTTTATGGCTACCTTAACTGTATATTTTTTAGATCTAACTTCTCCTTAGGTAGCACTTTTGATTTTAAAAAGTGCTGAGGCAAGTGTCTAGGAGCAGAATATGTCTATAATTCTATTTTCTTCCAATTGAAAATATTTTATAGTTAACAAAACTGCACATAACAAAAATATTCTAAATACAGCACCAATTCCATTAGCATTTACCTAGCAAGCTTGCACCTGGCATTTTTGCATACACACAGGAGTCAGTCTTTGAGGGCAATGGGGGTATAATAGCACCATTTAGTTTTATCTTTAGTTCTATGAGAGCTAAACAGATGTGTGACCAATGGTATAGGTACTCCATGACAATACTATGCGATTTCCACACATTGATTCGGGAATGACCTGCACCAAAGGAGAAAAAAAAAGTTAGTGTGAATAGTTTTGCACTTTTTAAATTAAAATGTAAGTTCCATTATTATGATGAAAGTTCATTAGATATGTTTGGAGTAAAAACTATAGCAGAATCTTGTTTAAATATCTAAGGATTTAAAAATTTTGGTGTAATCATCTAATGAAATACTACACAGCATTTAACAACAATTAAAGAATTAGAGCTAGCCGAACCGGTTTGGCTCAGTGGATAGAGCATCAGCCTGCGGACTGAAGGGTCCCAGGTTTGATTCCGGTCAAGGGCATGTACCTTGGTTGCGGGCACATCCCCAGTAGGGGGCGTGCAGGAGGCAGCTGATCGATCTCTCTCATCGATGTTTCTAACTCTCTATCCTTCTCCCTTCTTCTCTGTAAAATATCAATAAAATATATTTTAAAAAAAATTAGAGCTATATATATCATGTGGATAAATCTCAAAACATTGAGCACAAAATGTAAGTTGTAGGATAATATGTTCTTTGGATACAATTTTTAAAAGTTTTAAAACCTGTAAAATAATATTATATTGTTTATAGATTCATAAGCATGTAGTAAAAGTAAGAAATCATGCATAATAAATACTAAATTCATAATAGTATTATCTCTAGGGAGGAAGAAAATAGGATCAGGGAGGGGTAGAAAGTCTCAACTGTTCCTTTAATGTTTTTTGTTGTTAATCCTCACTGGAGAATATTTTTCCATTGATTTTTAGAGAGTGGGAGGAAGGGAGGGAGAGAAAGAGAGACAGACGGACAGACAGACATTAATGTGAGAAAACATTGATTGGTTGTGTCCCACACCCACCCCAACCGGGCTGGGATCGAACTTGCAGCCCTTCTGTGCTCTTGTTGACACTAACCACTGAGAACACTAGCCAGGTCCTCATAATTTTTTTTTTTTTAAAAGTCTGACTCAAACATGCATAATATTAAGGTTGGATATAGAATATGGGTCCATAATGACTACAGGTGTTAGTCTCAAACTTCTATGTTTGAAATATTTCTTAATTTAAAATTACTTTAAAATATAGAATCACGACATACCATTAAGATTCATGTAAAATTGAAAAGCATTAAACTGCCATTTATAAAAGTTACTTTTTCCCAGAAATCAATGACTAATGGTCAGATAGTATGGTCAAATGCAGCGGTTCTCAACCTGTGGGTCGCGACCCCTTTGGCGGTCAAATGACCCTTTCACAGGGGTCGCCTAAGACCATCCTACATATCAGATATTTACATTGCAACTCATAACAGTAGCAACATTACAGTTATGAAGTAGCAATGAAAATAATTTTATGGTTGGGTCACAACATGAGGAACTGTATTTAAAGGGCCAGAAGGTGAGAACCACTGGTCTAATGGAAAGAATATACGGTAGAGTTGAACAGATCTGGGTTCCAATTATTTTTTAAGTATTTTTTAAAATATATTTTACTGATTTTTTACAGAGAGGAAGGAAGAGAGAGAGAGAGTTAGAAACATCATTGATGAGAGAGAAAGATCGATCAGCTGCCTCCTGCACAGCCCCAGGCATGTGCCCTGGGTTCATTGGTTGACATTCAACCACTGAGCCACATTAGCCAGGCATGGGTTCTAATCTTGACTTTACCCCAACTAGTCTTGTGCCCTGGAGCAGGTCACCTAATTGTTCTGAACCTGTCTCTTCTTCCATAAAACAGGGATAATACCTCAGAATTGTTATGAAAATTAATGAGAAAAGATACGTGAAAATCTGACACAGAGTAGTTGCTAAAAATATATATATATATTGCCTTCTTTCAGATGCCTCCCACCCTCAGGTCTATGCCTAACTCAACAATGTTTGCTGATTTGAGTTGAATAAGCCATAAATAATATTTATAATTGAATAAGAGGTTTTAAATATCTCCTATCCATAGTTTTTTTTTTAAAAAATATATTTTAGTGATTTTTTACAGAGAAGAAGGGAGAGGGATAGAGAGTTAGAAACATCGATGAAAGAGAAACATCGATCAGCTGCCTCCTGCACACTCCCCACTGGGGATGTGCCCGCAACCAAGGTACATGCCCTTTACTGGAATCCAAACTGGGACCTTTCAGGCCGCAGGCCAACGCTCCATCTACTGAGCAAAACCAGCCAGGGCCATAGTTCTTTTTAAAAAAAAATTGATTTTAGAGAGGGAGGGAGGGATGGGGTCAGAGAGACAGAAAGAGAAACATGGATTGGTTGCCTCCCAACCAGGGATTGAACCCACAATCTGAGCATATGGTCTAACTGGCAATCAAACTGGTGACCTTTCAGTGCCTGGGACAGTGCTCAACCAAGCAAGCCACACTGGCCAGGCCTCTCCATAGCTCTTTAGCAATGACAATTGTTATGGATATCTGTTAAATGAAAGACAACATATTTTACTTCCCTATCGTCTGTCAACATGAAGGCACATAAAATGTGGAAAACATTCACAAGTCTCAAATTCTTTTTAAACTGACTTTAAAATGCAGACACAATGTTCTAGAATTCTCTTTTAACACACACACACACACACACACACACACACACACGGGCACTGTCTTCTCCCAATTATAAGTGTTCAATAAATGTTGACTTGAAACAACATTCAATTATGGAATAATTAAGGTAGTTTTTTTAAATACTAAGTCTTTTCAGATTATAACTCAGTAACATTAGTGACAATTATGAATAAAAACAAATGCTGGTCCTGAGAGCACATGAAATGTACCTGATTCATCTCATGTTATGGGTAATACTAGACCAATCAACATACAAATGTACAATTTTGAAGTGCATTTTGTTATAATTGATCCCTTTTTGTATTTATTAGTTCCTGAAACAAAGTAATGCTATAGGCTGCAAAGATTACTCTGATTATCTTAATGTTATGAATTTAATTAAATAAAAGTTCACCCCAGAATACTTTTAAAACCAGTTCTAACTGATTTTCTGACATAGGACAGCTCTCCTGCTCCCCACAGCTTTTATTCTCCCCCTCCTTGTTCCCCATGAAGAGCTCTGTTTCTTTGATGCCTGCCACAGTGTTCTTATCTGACATCCAAATGAATAGACTCCTATCTGCAACCATTATTAAGCCAGTCAGCCATCTCCATGGTGATTCAAGGACACGAGAATAGGGAGCGAGGTCACTCCCTTTCACAAGCCCCTGTTGCTTATTTCCTGTCTTGTTACCAGGGACAGAAGCTCCAAACCTGTCTGGGCCGTAGTTTCTGTTTCCTGCCCTCTCCAGTGAGAGAGTGATGTATTAACAGCTGGCTTTAATTTATTCCTCTAATGAAGCCTCCATTGCTCCGTGGCAGTGATTTTCAACCTTCTTTGTCTGATGGCACACATAAACTAGTAAAATTCTGTGGCACACCAAAAAATATATTTTTTGCCAACCTGACAAAAAAAATGGGTATTCTTTTGATTTATTCACACCTGAAAGCTGTTGTGTTGCCTGTTGTCATTTTTTTATTTGACAATCTGAGGGAAAAGAGGTCAGTGCTCCTGACTAAATAGTCAGGTATTGCACATTTTAAACATTCTTGTGGCACACCAGTGTGTGGTGGCACAGAAAGGGGTTGAAAATTGCTGCTTTGTGGGGTTCCCATTAACAGTGGTTGAGCACTGCTGCTCTCTTGTGGTGGATAGATGCCAGATCTTTGCAGCAGTTGCACAGATTTTACAATTCTTTCAAGCAAACATACTATTTTTTTTTTCCTTTTCTAACCATAAGAAATTGTTGCGCTTTTTTTTTTTTGCTTTGCTTTTTATTGGTAAGGGTTATAGGAAATTATTTGAAGACATCTGAGCTAAAATAATTGCTGAGACAAACTTTGAATCTGTTTATAAACCTATTGATTTCAAAAGATTCAAGTTTAATCAAACTTTTAATTACATAGGAAATTCATTTTGCTTAAAACATTAGAATAATATGGGATATTTCTAATTAAACCTCCATTTATGGATCTCTGCTTTAACACTGGATTAAGTTAAATCTTCTACTTTTTTTCTTGAGTTGCCAAAGTTTGGGTGGAAGTTTATTCCAGGCTGAACATTGAGTTCTTGCATTAATTTCATTCCTATTGTAAGCACAACTTCTGCACAATATCACCTTGTATTGGCTTTTAAAAATGATGTAGCCATAAATCAGATTATGTACAAATTGAAATCAGTGCAATTTATCTTTATAAAAATTCATACTTTAATAAAGCGGCTTTGAAATTCTTAGATCATATCCCTCTATCAGTAACATGTTGAACATGATCCAAATATCTGTATATTTATAAGTTATTTATTTTAAAACAGTAAAAAATAGAAACCCGACATCGATGGGGTAAATTTATTACAAATAAAAGTCCTGCACTATTTTCTTGCACTTCAGTGGTGTAGTTATCAGTTGTTTGTGCCTTGTGTGTGCTCCTTTTTGTTGGCGCTTAGTGGGGAAAGCCTACAGGTGTCTCAGTATTCAGTAGACACAGGCATACTCTCCCTGTTTTCACTCTGGTACTCTCCCTTCTCAGCTGTGTCTGATGTCCCCTAGGTCAGAGACTTTCATTGTTACCTTTTCTGAGGAAAACGTTTCTAGGGTTAGGGTGAGGAGTTGCCCAGTGTGTAGGAGATGTAAAGAAGATGACATACAGACACCAAAACACTGAAACAGAAGGAAAAAGGAGAAACAACAGGGAGAAGAAAACTTTAAAAAATAATTATCATTAATACCTTCAGAGGGAGAAGACATTGCATTCAAGAAACAAAACAGATGTTGTAATAGCAAGTATTTAAAGAACAGCAACAACAAAGCTCTTAGCATGCAGAAACAAATATTCAATAGGATTAGAAGGTTGAGAGAATGTCTCAGAAAGTGGGGAAAAAAAGACAAAAAGATGCAAAATAGGAGGAAAAATACAAGGATTTGGGACACTAAATTTAGGCGATCTAATGTCTAAACAATAGGAATTCCAAAGATACAATAC